ACCATATGCATACCTGTATCCTGGTAGCCCATCACATCAGGAACAATAGTGACCTGTGCCTGGCTCAAGTTATTAAATTGGTTCACGTGTTTCAACTTCCACAAACAACGAAATGATGAGCATGCATATGTGCATTATATAATTATACATAGCACATGATCCAAACAGTCATGATAAGCCTGATGAGTGGGGGAAGAGCTATGTGTGTACACTTAGCATGCGTGTGAATAGGATGTCCACATGAACAATAACTGTAATCTTATTGCACAAGGCCACTTCACGAATGGGAGCCAGGTACGACATGCCGCGGATGCACCATAGTAGCCCCGTATGCTTCCTCGACAGCCTACTGAATATCAGTAAACCTCGCTCGCCTTTTGAAGGAGATGTGTGTATTTACCGAGCGGTCTCCACCACACCTTAATAATAAGATTTGAGTGCAAGACGTCCCCCTCCGCACTCTTCCTGGCTGACGAGGGTGGGATTTGAACCCACGCCCTTACGGACTAGAAATGTCTCATCCTGGTCTGAACCAGGTAGTCCTGAATCTAGCGCCTTAGACCGCTCGGCCACCTCGTCATGCTGTGCACGTGCACCCAGCCGATAACGTTTGTGTACACCAAAACGCAACAGACCTTCATGCATCCCTGCCGTGCAATTTGCTCGACTTTTTTCGAGTGTTACAAAATGATGATCGATATGAACATCAAGCATGTACATACATACAAGTTCTTTAACGGAAGGTATGTTGGTAACGGTACGTCGCATGAGCATATTATTTCGCCGACACGGGGAATCGAACCCCGGCCTCCCGCGATCCATGATTGGATGATGTCATGACAGGCGGGGATACTGACCACTATACGATGTCGACGGAGGCACTCATTGCAGAGACAGGATAGCCGCATCCCGCTCCGCCACTCTTTCGCTACCGGGACTCGAACCCGGGTCTCGAGAGTGAGAATCTCGTATCCTAACCGCCTAGACTATAGCGAAGAATGTCGCAGCACAAGTTATCATACACCATCATAATAACGTCACACACAACACACCGACATACATGCGGGTGACAGGCGCATG